TTTTTTTAATAACTACATGTAAACCCCATGATCGTGCAGATCTAATATATGCGTTGAAAGTTAAGAGCATATTTAGACAACACATTGATCTAGTCCCTACATATCGACAAAAATCGGCATCCATCTCTCGGTGGATAATCCGATGATCTGAAAATCAACTCAAACTAATATCCATGATCCGTAACTGATCTGATGTCTCAGAAGTTGACTCGAATCGCTAGCCATCGGCATATGGTCAACAATTCGAACCAAATAACGAGTCATGCCCGATGAGTTGTTTGATTATTGACTCATCAAATTATTAACCTCATAACTTCCACAAAACTTGTCCAAATTATTATTTCTTTATGTCATTAGAAAGTTTTTTTAAAGACTACGCATAGACACCATTGTCGCGCAGATCTAATATATTCGCTGAAAATTATGAGCATATTTAGATAACACATTGATCTAGTCCCTATATATCGACAAAAATTGGCATCCATCTCTCGGTGGATAATCCGATGATTTGAAAATAAACCCAAACTAATATCCATCATCCGATAAATGATTCGATTACTCAGAAGTTGACTCGAACCGCAAGCCATCGACATATGGTCAACAATTCGAACCAAATAACGAGTTATGTCCGTTGAGTTGTTCGATTGTTGAATGATCAAATTATTAACTTCATAACTTCCACAAAACGTGTCCAAATTATTTTTTCTTTATTTTATTAGAAAGTTTTTTTCATAACTACATATAGACACCATGATCGAGCAGATCTAATATATGCGCTGAAAGATATGAGCAGATTTAGACAACACGTTGATCTACTCCCTACATATCGACAAAAATCGGTATCCTCTCTCGCTGGATAATCCGATGATCTGAAAATCAACTCAAACTAATATCCATGATCCGTAAGTGATCTGATGTCTCAAAAGTTGACTTGAATCGCTAGTCATCGGCATATGGTCAACAATTCGAACCAAATAACGAGTCATGTCCGATAAGTTGTTCGATTGTTGACTCATCAAATTATTAACCTCATAACTTCCACAAAACGTGTCCAAATTATTCTTTCTTTATGTCATTAGAAAGTTTTTTTAATAACTACCTGTAAACCCCATGATCGCGCAGATCTAATATATGCTTGAAAGTTAAGAGCTTATTTAGACAACATATTGATCTAGTCCCTACATATCGACAAAAATCGGCATCCATCTCTCAGTGGATAAACCGATGATCTGAAAATCAACCCAAACTAATATCCATCGTCCGGTAAGTGATCCGATGACTCAGAAGTTGACTCGAATCGCTAGCCATCGACATATGGTCAACAATTCGAACCAAATAACGAGTCATGGACGATGAGTTGTTCGATTGTTGACTGATCAAATTATTAACCTCATAACTTCCACAAAACATGTCCAAATTATTCTTCTTTTATGTCATTAGAAAGTTTTTTTAATAACTACATGTAAACCCCATGATCGTGCAGATCTAATATATGCGTTGAAAGTTAAGAGCATATTTAGACAACACATTGATCTAGTCCCTACATATCGACAAAAATCGGCATCCATCTCTCGCTGGATAATCCGATGATCTTAAAATCAATCCAAACTAATATCCATTGTCCGGTAACTGATCCGATGACTCAGAAGTTGACTCGAATCGCTAGCCATCGACATATAGTCAACAATTCGAACCAAATAACGAGTCATGCCCGATAAGTTGTTCGATTGTTGACTCATCAAATTATTAACCTCATAACTTCCACAAAACGTGTCCAAATTATTCTTTCTTTATGTCATTAGAAAGTTTTTTTAATAACTACATGTAAACCCCATGATCGTGCAGATCTAATATATGCGTTGAAAGTTAAGAGCATATTTAGACAACACATTGATCTAGTCCCTACATATCGACAAAAATCGGCATCCATCTCTCGGTGGATAATCCGATGATCTGAAAATCAACCCAAATTAATATCCATCGTCCGGTAAGTGATCCGATGACTCAGAAGTTGACTCGAATCGCTAGCCATCGACTATGGTCAACAATTCAAACCAAATAACGAGTCATGGACGATGAGTTGTTCGATTGTTGACTGATCAAATTATTAACCTCATAACTTCCACAAAAGAAGTCCAAATTATTATTTCTTTATGTCATTAGAAAGTTTTTTTAAAGACTACGCATAGACACCATTATCGCGTAGATCTAATATATTCGCTGAAAATTATGAGTATATTTAGACAACACATTGATCTAGTCTCTATATATCGACAAAAATTGGCATCCATCTCTCGGTGGATAATCCGATGATCTGAAAATCAACCCAAACTAATATCCATCATCTGTAAGTGATCTGATGTCTCAGAAGTTGACTCGAATCGCTAGTCATCGGCATATGGTCAACAATTCGAACCAAATAACGAGTCATGTCCGATAAGTTGTTCGATTGTTGACTCATCAAATTATTAACCTCATAACTTCCACAATACGTGTCCAAATTATTCTTTCTTTATGTCATTAGAAAGTTTTTTTAATAACTACCTGTAAACCCCATGATCGTGTAGATCTAATATATGCGTTGAAAGTTAAGAGCATATTTAGACAACATATTGATCTAGTCCCTACATATCGACAAAAATCGGCATCCATCTCTCGGTGGATAATGATGATCTGAAAATCAACTCAAACTAATATCCATGATCCGTAAGTGATCTGATGTCTCAGAAGTTGACTCGAATCGCTAGCCATCGGCATATGGTCAACAATTCGAACCAAGTAACGAGTCATGCCCGATGAGTTGTTTGATTATTGACTCATCAAATTATTAACCTCATGACTTCCACAAAACATGTCCAAATTATTCTTTCTTTATGTCATTAGAAAGTTTTTTTAATAACTACATGTAAACCCCATGATCGTGCAGATCTAATATATGCGTTGAAAGTTAAGAGCATATTTAGACAACACATTGATCTAGTCCCTACATATCGACAAAAATCGGCATCCATCTCTCGGTGGATAATCCGATGATCTGAAAATCAACTCAAACTAATATCCATGATCCGTAAGTGATCTGATTGCTCAGAAGTTGACTCGAATCGCTAGCCATCGGCATATGGTCAACAATTTGAACCAAATAACGAGTCATGCCCGATGAGTTGTTTGATTATTGACTCATCAAATTATTAACCTCATAACTTCCACAAAACTTGTCCAAATTATTCTTTCTTTATGTCATTAGAAAGTTTTTTTAAACACTACGCATAGACACCATTGTCGCGCAGATCTAATATATTCGCTGAAAATTATGAGCATATTTAGACAACACATTGATCTAGTCCCTATATATCGACAAAAATTGGCATCCATCTCTCGGTGGATAATCCGATGATCTGAAAATAAACCCAAACTAATATCCATCATCCGATAAATGATTCGATTACTCAGAAGTTGACTCGAACCGCTAGCCATCGACATATGGTCAACAATTCGAACCAAATAACGAGTTATGTCCGTTGAGTTGTTCGATTGTTGACTGATCAAGTTATTAACTTCATAACTTCCACAAAACGTGTCCAAATTATTCTTTCTTTATGTTATTAGAAAGTTTTTTTTAATAACTACATATAGACACCATGATCGCACAGATCTAATATATGCGCTGAAAGATATGAGCATATTTAGACAACATGTTAATCTAGTCCCTACATATCGACAAAAATCGGCATCCATCTCTCGGTGGATAATCCGATGATCTGAAAATCAACCCAAACTAATATCCATCGTCCGTTAAGTGATCCGATGACTCAGAAGTTGTCTCGAATCGCTAGCCATCGACATATGGTCAACAATTCGAACCAAATAACGAGTCATGCACGATGAGTTGTTCGATTGTTGACTCATCAAATTATTAACCTCATAACTTTCACAAAACGTGTCCAAATTACTCTTTCTTTATGTTATTAGAAAGTTTTTTTTTCATAACTACATATAGACACCATGATCGAAGAAACAGTCACTGAAGATGAGTTTAATGGTTGCACTCATCAACCGATCAGTCAAGACCAAGAAAGATGGCGAGTTATGGTTCGTGATGAACGGAGTCCCAATTAGGTATTCGCTGTGGGAACACGCTATTCTTTGTGGTTTAAATTGTTCTCCGTTGCCTGAGAATTGGGAGGAAATTGGAGGGTTCGAATTCTACCGTAAATTCTTTGGTCAAGAGAGTTTTGAAAAGGTTATGAAAGCAGAAGTAATGAAGAAGTTTGGGGAATTGGCTGTAGATGACAGAGATGACCGATTGAAGATGGCTTATTTGTTGCTGCTCAGTTATGTCATTGGGCACCAACATTCGGAATACGTGAATCCATTTCTGTTGAAGATTGTCAACAATGTGGATGCATGCGAAAAATTCCCTTGGGGGACGTTCACGTTCAACAATGTTCATGAGTTTGTGGTGAACTATCTGAATAAACATCGGAAGCCGGCTAATCAGTGGAACTTACCAGGGTTTATAATTCCCCTCACGGTAAGGGTTTAGGGTTTACTAAACAAAATAAAGAGTTGTCAAGAAATACTTTATTAATGTTTTGTATTTGTTATAACAGATGTTGCCGTTCGAATGTATTCCCAAGCTTCGTTCATGCGGATGGTATAGTGAAGTCAGGGTGGAAGGAAATGTGAAACAATC